CATTGTGACAGGTAAAAACCACCTTGCATCTTGGTATGAGAATAGCGGATTTCCAGCAGATTGGGTAATCGCTGTTACTGCAAATGGCTGGACTACAAACGAGAGAGGTATGGATTGGATTCAGCATTTTGAGACGCACACAAAGCCCCAGAGTGTTGGTGGTTATCGCTTGTTAGTCCTTGATGGTCATGAGAGCCACCACTCAGACAAGTTTGAGGAGTACTGCAAAGAACACAACATTATTACGCTTTGTATGCCTGCTCACTCTTCCCATATACTCCAACCACTTGATGTTGGCTGTTTTGGCCCATTAAAGAGAGCTTATGGTCGGCAAATTGAAGATATGATGCGGGCTCATATTATTCACATTACTAAGGATGACTTCTTTCCTGCCTTCCACGCTGCATTTAACATTGCAATGACAGAAAGCAATATTCAGGGTAGGGTTCCGAGGTGCTGGGCTTCTTCCATTTAGCCCTGAGAGTGTAATATCTACACTTGACCTTAGGTTTAAGACGCCAACACCTCCAACCTCTCGCCCAAACACCGCTCAACCATGGGTTTCTCAGACACCAAATAACCCAACTGAAGCTGTATCACAGTCTACTTTCATTAAAAACCGAATTGCGCATCATCAAAATAGCTCTCCAACCTCAATCTATGCAGCTGTTGACCAGTTTACAAAGGGTGCATCGCAAATAATGCATCAATTAGCATTGTTAAAAGCAGAGAACCAAAACCTGCGACAGGCAAATGAAGTGCTAAGCAAGCGCCGGAGAGCTAAAAAAACATGACTACAGCAAGGAGGATCACTTAGTCAACAGGTAGCACAGGAGCTACAGGACGAGAGGGACATTGTGCAGCAAGTAGAGCAAGAAATAAGGGCAAGTAGTGGTCGGAAGCCAAGGGAAGAAACCCATGCACGTCGCTGTGGCAAGTGTGGTGAGACTGGACACAATGCGCGCACTTGTCAGATTGTAATAGACAGGTCTGAGGAAGAGGACTCCGAGTAGTTTTAATTAATTTATATTGTTGTGGTGGATTTATCGCAATTCTTATGGGGTAGTCGCGATATTTTGGCACTTTCGCTTGTTTGGCACTTTCGTTATACATGCACGTTACACAAAAACAATTCACATCACAGTATGAGCCTGGAACAATTCTAAGCAGTGTTGCCCGAATACCGCTCTGAGTACTACTCGAGCATCCTAGAGAGTACTCAAAATTGAAGCTCGAGTACCGGTATTCGAATACCGGTACTAGAATACCGTGAGTAGTACTCGCATATAAAATAGAATTTGACTGTATTTACTATTCTAACTCTCATTATCTGCATCGTCGCCTTGTGATATAATACCCCATTTCCGTAAGCAAAGTAGATATCTAAGTGTAGACGGTGATAATCTGTTCCGTTTCTTTGTGATAATATCACCGCCAACACTAAATACTCATTCAGAGTCCGCTGAGGTAGCTGGAATAGCTAGGTGGTCCTTTGCTATAGAAGCAATCAACGGATATTGGAATTACTTACTCTGCCAATATTTGAGATTATCTGTGTTCCTACCAACCATCAGCTCCTTCATCCATCGCTTCCATTCTGGCTCAGTATCGTGATGGCTTTGCGATACGCATAGCTCATCTTCTGAGTCTATATCGATACTCATAGCTTGCTGCACTGGATCTAGATCCTCATCTTCGATACTATTAATAATGTTTGCTGCTCGAATATCAGACTCGCGGCCTGAATATCAGTAGAAGCAGTCCTGCCACTGTGCCTTTGCCCTGTTCTTTTTGATCCATTGTGTACTGTCTTTCCATATGATATTGAAAATGTTGAAACTATACCGAGGATCACAAATTGTAGCAATCGTAGAGTGACTCTGTGTCATACTGACATTCGTTGCACTCAGTTTGCTATCAAACTCAAGAGCAAACTTAGAAATCTCCTCCTCAAACCTACAAGTCACTATACATATTTTGGCTTATCACACCAACAACAAGAGCAATACTACTCAACGATTGCTACAACCATCTATGATTCATTACACGTCATCGCTCCTTAGTTACTGGGCCGATATTACCACATAGCATATCTGTACAACCCTCTATGATTCATTACATGACATCACTCATAATACCACATGACATATCTCTACCAACTAGAGGCCTAGGAGCATGAACGATAGCTCTAAAAGCTCCTACGAACCTCTATGATTCATTACATGTCATCGCTCTTTAGTTACCCACAAGATTGGTTAAGTTATGACATAATTTGTCTATGACATAATTTGTCTATGACATAATTTGTCTATAGGGGTACTCTGACCTTGGACCTCCTTTTACTTCCTATAGGCTACGAACCTAGGAGATGGTTCTATGGGATTCTCTTACGTCGACTACAGTTACCAAGCCTGGTTAGTCATGGAAAGTCTTGGAAAATGAGAGAACTACACTCCTTTATGTAATGGTGGGTGCACCAGATGTGAGAATCTAGCCACCCAAGGAAGGGATGAATTTACTAAGACAACACACTGTCTTAGGAAACAGAGCCAAAGGGTTGTAGCTTAGACTATTCCACAACGCAGCAATCAGGTGTGTGATGTAGTGAAGTGGTTCAGACAAGTTGCAACAAATGTTGAGTCTGGGAACTCAGGGGTAAGTCAAAGGTTAACACCTCACTGACTTTTCAGAAACAAGGAGTAACAAGATGAATGCTTGGAAGCTTGGAAAAGACGTGGAAGTATGTGATAGTCGATTTACTGTATTGTCTGCTTGCCCTTTCTTAAGGAAAGGGCAATCCTATTTATGCTAAAGGAATGTAGTTTCTCTCATTTTCCAAGACTTTCCATGACTTACCAGGCTTGGTAACTGTAGTCGACGTAAGAGAATCCCATAGAACCATCTCTTAGGTTCGTAGCCTATAGGAAGTAAAAGGAGGTCCAAGGTCAGAGTACCCCTATAGACAAATTATGTCATAGACAAATTATGTCATAACTTAACCAATCTTGTGGGTAACTAAAGAGCGATGACATGTAATGAATCATAGAGGTTCGTAGGAGCTTTTAGAGCTATCGTTCATGCTCCTAGGCCTCTAGTTGGTAGAGATATGTCATGTGGTAGTATGAGTGATGTCATGTAATGAATCATAGAGGGTTGTACAGATATGCTATGTGGTAATATCGGCCCAGTAACTAAGGAGCGATGACGTGTAATGAATCATAGATGGTTGTAGCAATCGTTGAGTAGTATTGCTCTTGTTGTTGGTGTGATAAGCCAAAATATGTATAGTGACTTGTAGGTTTGAGGAGGAGATTTCTAAGTTTGCTCTTGAGTTTGATAGCAAACTGAGTGCAATGAATATCAGTATGACAGTATTCCTCTACCCTTTCGTCAGGCGTTGCCTTTAAGGAAGCTAAAGTAGGTTGAATAGCAATGTTGATAATATGCCCAATACAGTGTACGTCTCCTGCTTTCAGTGTAAAATCCCATGGTTGTTTCAGGGTAATAGGTTGCGCCAATGCCAGTTTCTCATATTCTAATAGCATAGTTGTATTCGTAGATGCATTATCTCTTGTAACTGTAAAGATCGCAGGTGTAATACTATAATCGTCCGTTACATGTATCATCTGTTCGGCAAGGTATTCGCCAGAGTGGATTGGCTCCTGAAGGTGTATAACGTCAAGTATAGTATTTCTCATTTACCAATTATCATTTATCCAGTGTACTGTAACTGCTGAGTACTCAGAATTGTTTCGAGCAAGTATCTGTAGTTATTGCAAGTCGTCCACCACTTATAATATGTTGTTGTAATTCTACTTGAAGCCGTGCTTTATGATAGCAGAATAGACGATATAGATCCTGTCTGATCGTAGTTCTACTAACTGTCAAAACTGTAGTGTTTAGATGATGAACTAATTGCCAGAATGAGTGGCTTTCCACAAGGTGTAGCGGTAGGTTATTTGATACCACAAAAGAGAGTACAAGCTCTCTATATTTCGACGAGCTTGGTTCATTACTGGGTGCTTAGCAGGGCTGGAAAAAAGCAGAAGCAGAAGCAGAAGCAGATGGTGTTAATGAGCTTCTAATTGAGGAGGATAGCTTCTCATATTCTGCATGCATGGATGGGTGCATCTTCTTAAGATGCTTCCAAAGATTACTCGTCATCTGGCTCTTTAGTAGCTGGCTCGGCATATAGCTACAATAGTTTGAAGGCATTGGTATTGGATTCTAGCAGGTATTTGTATCTAATAAAGTACGGTAGAATGACCCTTTCGAAAAGAGGATTGATGTAGAATCAGGTAATTGAACTCTTAGAGGCATATGCAGCATCGGAATAAGGGGCGGCAGCTCTAAAGCATCAGACTGATACTCAGCCGGCACTGGCGACAGAGAAGAGCCACTCATTTTCACAGTCAGGAAGTAATACGGAACGCTCAAGTGGAAGAAAGCTTCAATTATCTAATTCTATTCTACGCCCAGTTACCCCTCATTGCCAAGGGCTTGGCAGTATTCAGAGTATTCAGAGTAGTACTCGGCAAGTCCCTGAGTAGTCAAAAATATCACCCGAGTACTACTCACGGCGAGTACTACTCGGGCAACACTGATTCTAAGACGCCTTCTAGATACTCTAAATTACTCATATAGACCTAGAACCCCTCTAAGGAGTCGATAAGGGGCCACTAGGAAAGCTGCACAACCTCATTGTTTATATTCGCCGTAGCACACAGTGAATTCAACGATTTCGTACACAAAGGCTTGAATTTAATCAGGGACAATTCTACTAGATGGAACTCTTGGTTAAGATGATTGACTGCGCCTTGGATACACTATGACGCGAAGCTATTGATATCTTTGTAGCTAGAGACAAGTTAGAAAAGGACGCACTTTCAGAAACAGACTGGGGTTATTTGCAGAAGATTAGGGACTTTCTTCAGTATTTTGAGGACGCCACACTATCAACTGAAGGACACGTAGGCACATTAGACCATGTTTTACCTACTATGGACTTACTATTAGAGCAGTTTGAGGCCGCAAAGATACAATATCAAGAGGATAGATACATGGCCCCATGTTGCAACTCTGGTTGGGCTAAACTAGACAAGTACTATGCTCTTACAGGTAGAACCCCAGTCTATATAGCAACAACAGTGCTGTGCCCAGCATTCAAATGGGAGTACTTCAAGTCTACTTGGGAGGATGTGTGGATCACTAGAGGAAAGGTTAAGATGCAGGAATTCTGGGAAGAGAAATACAAGTCCAAAGCTATTGTTCTTCCTCCACAAGCAAACACAAAAACAACGGTGCAGTATCAGGCTTGGAGAAGGAAGAAAGCCAGGGTACAGACAGAGGTAGATGAGTATGCTAGGTATCTTCAAGCTCCCATCTTGTCAGAGGTCAAAGATTGTCATGACACTCCTTCGATATTTGTGTCATAACCCTTTGATTTGCTTTAGTCTCTAGTACTTATTTCACTATGTCATTCACTTCACCTGCTTCACTCACTTCGCTCACTTCGCTTCACTTGCTGACCTAGATCAGCCCAAATGTTGACTACTGGCTTAGGCTCTCTTGTTATTGGCTCGCTTCACTAGGGCTCGGTTAATTATTGCCTTCGCTTATTTGGCACTAGGGATTTTTAATGTTATATAAGCACTTATTGCTCATGTCTCTTATTGATCTTTAGCTAGCAAATTATACACTACTTGGCCTTCTTGCAATTCCTCCTGCTTCAACTTACTTTGCATTCCCTTACTTCGAGTCGAACCACTTGGCCAACCTGTTAGTCTCACCACTTGACCCCTGTGGTATAAAGTATATGCTTTGGAGCCTGAACTACTATAGAACCTACGCAGCGGCTAATGTATCCTAATCTTTCTTTAATGGCCATTGATATTCTTTCAATTCCAGCTGTGTCAGCAGAACCAGAAAGTCTATTTTTAGGTGTGTTGCTCACAGTTACTGATAGAAGGAATAACTTGGAGGCAGAGACTATCGAGGCTACAGAGTGTTTGAAATCTTGGATGTAATTTATATAGAAACTGTCAGTTTATTAGTCAGTTTCACAGTCCGTCCAGTTTGACCACATAAATATACAGTCCAGTCCAGTTTACTCAATATTTAAACAGTCCAGTCCAGTTTAAGGCCTTGGACGGACTATTTGTACTATTACCCACACTGCTGATGTACCCATGCATAATGTAGTGTTGGCTATGGGATGGCATGGGACTGCCATATCGTTTTATCCACAACGGTGCATCTACTATCCACTCCCTCAATTGGCGGATGATGACTAAAATGTTGCAGATGTCGGTAATATTCAAGATACCTGAAATATCCAAAATATGCAGCCAAATTTCGATAGGGAGAGTTATTTGGCAACTTCCTTCTGAATCTGAGTTATCTCTAGGCTTAGGCCTAGTCAGACTAGGCATTGCTGCTGGTAGTGCAGAGATCCGAGTCTCAATGTCATGAAGATCGTGGTTTGCATCTGTTGGTGCCAACTGGGGTTTTGCCACTTTCAGTAAGCTGGGCCTGCCACGTGATATAGAAGCCGACATACTGTGATATCCCGAGCGTGAACCAACTTGCTTGAATTCAATGGGGCTACGGACTTTACTTATGCCATCATCCGGAAGCTATTCTACCGTAGGAAACTACACCAGTACACAGGTTTCAGGCTGTTGGTGCCTTATTATGCCTGATTCTTGGAGCCAGATTCACATGGTGTTAGTAGGTATCACGTGCAGATAGGCGCGCCTAATCTGCACATGATACCTACTAACCTTTAGAAAGCGGCTGTCAGTTAGTGTTGAGCGGATCATATCCGGATCTGATCCTGAGCCCTCACGGGTCAGATCATGATCCGTCTAAGGTCTGACGGATAGATACGGGTTATATCCCGATCTTCAGGATAATGAAGCTTAAAATATACAAATAGAATAGATAAAATAACTATATAACTACTCTTCCCCCTTCTCATCAGCGTCTTCAGCTTCACTTTCTTCAACCTCTAGTATATGACCCCAATCTCGTAAACAGAGTAAATATTGAAGCGTTTCAGGAGAGAGCCTGTTCCTCTTCTTCATAAGAATATCAGCTCCATTACTAAAGACCCGTTCTGATGGAGCTGATGTTGCAGAAATTGCCAAATTGTCTCGAGCAATTGCAGCTATAATTGGATATTGATATTGCTTTGCTGCCCAATATTTAAGGATATCTGTTGTTGGACCTGGCCGGAGCTCAACAAGCCAGCGCTTCCATTCCGGTTCTTGATAAATGCTGTGAGAAATGTATAAACATCATCAGAGTCAGGTTCTGTAGGCAATTGTGGTAATTCCGCCTCAGCTTCATTTTTCTCCTCATCAAGATAGTATTGGCGGTCTCTATATTGAATAAAGACGTCGTGAAACTGCTGCTTAACTCTATTCCGTTTGACTTCTTCAGTACTGCTTGGCCAAAGACTGTTAAATACGATAAGATTCATACGTGGATCGCAAATTATAGCTACCCCTGAATGACTCCATCATTGATTTGTAGCAAGCGTATACATTAAGCTTCTTATGAGCAGCGATACTTGCTAGGCCAATTGTTGATGATATACTGACTTCTTTCTGTAAAGCCTCGAGCTTCTTTATCATCTTTAGATACTGAGGAATTGCGAAGTTAAGCATTGGATATAAGCTTGCTTGTAGCTTTTGTGACGGCTTAACAAATATATAGAAGAAATTCTAAAGAGCGTGGAGCATTATCCAATCCTCTGGTGTAAGGGTGATATCTCTCATACTTAAATCCATTTTCTGAGTAGCACAGATCGCTGTAATTGGCATCTGTAACTTAAGGACTGTTGAAACCATTTCGTATGTTGAGTTCCACCAGACTCGCATATCGAGTGATAGTTGTAGCTTCTTAAGACCAGCTGCAATAGTCTGCTTTTGAATAGCATCTTTTCATTGCCTTCGATTACTGGAATCTGCGCAACTCCTTGCTCAGCAGGGGCTGCCTTTAAAGCCTAACGAGCATCTTGAACAGCGATATTAATTATTGATATCTGGCCTCCTCTCTTGATATGAGAATGGAGCTCAAGTTGTAGTTTGCCTCCGTGATATGAGAACTGACACTGTAGTTCTCAGTGTAGTGTACAAGCTGATATTGATATAGTTGTCAGGCTTAAGAATTGAACTAATTCACGGAACCAATAGCTTTCAATAAGGCATATCAATAGGTTATTTGACACAATAAACTGTAGTAATAGCTCCTTATACTTTGAAGGATTACCAGATTGCTTTGGTAGGGCTGATGGGCATGGGTTGAAGAATGACGATGTAGTACTTGATGCACTAGACGACTGTCTATTCTCATTTTTAAGGGCATATGATACTATTGGATGCTTTAAAGAATAATGCCTCCATAGATTACCCGTCGACGATTGCTTTAGTTCTTATGGCGGTAGTGAATATTCACAGCCTGGTTGTAGGCATATCATTTTTATAGTTGGAGGCCAAGTATCAAGTAATTCCTGACGATATAAGCCCTTTGTAAAGAGCTTCAACGACGTCGGTGGTAGTACTACCCTTGGATGTTGAAGTAGATTAATCGATACATCAACTGCTTCAACTGGAAGCTGAAGAGGGGTAGGTTGAGGCAGAAGATGTGGTAACGATAGCTCTTCCATTTGAGAATAGCTCTCATGGTCTGACGGCAAATCTGACAATTCCGAGTCGCTCATTAGAGCATTTTAGCAACTGTTGAACAGGCTGTTCAACACCCCCATATGTAGTTAGTATAGAAATATGAGAATTTAGTGCCATAATCCCTGTAAAAACCTTGCAATCCCGAGCTCCACTACTTCCTATTTAGGACTTAGGACTGTAGAGGCTTAACAGTTATCTGTTGAAGACTTACAGTGAGCCATAATCCTGTTGTAGTTGGAGTATTTATTAGTAATCTCCTTCAGGGGACGTCATGTACCGGTAGAGTTAGTAATAGAGTCGTATGTATGATTGTATTATATTAAATACAAGTAATAACTATGGCATTGCATACCAAACCTATTGAATTCCGGGCATACCAGCCTCGAACTTTACTTCCCAGTCGTCGGCAGCGCTCTGTCTTCGAAGACGATGATCTGGGTAGTCCACCTTTACCTGTTCAGCCTACAGTTGAGGCGCAATTCAATACCGAAAGGCCTAGAGGATCACAAGTCTCAAGCCAGCAGCGCATAGAGAGTTGCGACCCTCAAGGCTCTCAAGCAAAGATGACGCCCCTAACGAAGGACGAAGTACTGGTCCTCTTCCAACTTTGCAATCGAAACGCCGAAGCATTTCAACCAGGGAAGAAGACTGCATTCTGGTCTTATATACAGGCCTATTTCGAAAGGGAGACTGGTAAAGACCACAAGAGTCTCTACCGAGTAGTACAGCGGGAAATCGACAAGAGAAGGAAATACCTCGATGGGCTTGGGACTGCACAAACTGATAGCAAGTCGGAATTGACTGTCCAAACTGATAACTGGATTGGGGTTGTTACTGGGGAAAAGCGGATTGAAACACAGTGAAGTGAGGCAGCAAATACTGTTATCACTTCGTCGCAGCGAGCGCTCAATACTTGACACTTGTTATCCGTTGCTCTTGCTACAAAGCGGAGGCACCAGCAGACTTATCCTCAAAGTCGTAATAGATCCATTGGCCAGAGAGCACGAGTGTGCTCTGGCTTTGACTATCCTGATGACGAGGATATACTAGATGATTCTGCAGAAGAAAGGCAAAGTGAGAACGGCGCTGAGAGTGTTCACTCTATAGACTTGACTCCCCTGGAAACATCAACCCTACTACAAACACCAACGCCAGTACTACGAGGAACTTCAGCTCCTCGTGGCCGTTCAAGTAGTTGAGGAAGACACTGTCATAGACAGCCCTGAAATTTGTCACCGTCTCAGACTCAATTGCTCCTTGAAGAGCAATTAACACGGGCTTATGACCCAGTATTATCTGTCTTTGAGTCGTTCATGAGTATGGTGAAGGATCAGTATAGACAGAGTAATGCAAGAGGGCAGGGAGGGCAGCAGGAAAGTCAGAACGAGAACATTGATAATCCTATAATTACTTCGCGGTTACAGCAAGTCGATCATCAGATCCGGGAACTATAGGAAGGCCAAGCTAAATTGAAGCAAGGCCAAACTACAATAATATCTCTTCTTCAGCAGGCATTACATGGGCCTATCCGATGAAGCTTTCCACTTGAAAGTACGGATAGTAGTGAATATAACGGGGTAGAGGGTTGGATAGAGTCAACTAATACATATATATCCTAGCTAGTACAAAGAAGATGTTCCTCTACTGTTGGTGGAGGCACCAGAAACCTCGTTCCAATCAAGTTACCCCGTATACAAGTATAACAGTTCGTAAATAGTATCACAGCTTTAAAGTGAGCTGCTACAAGCTGCGACTGTGACTGTAGCCCTTTATCAAAAGCTGCGTACGTCCATAACTATTGCGTTAATCCAAAGGCATTTTCAACTGCAATTCTCACAGATGATAGAGAAGCATTAAACTGCTTCTCCTTAGAAGGAAGATATCGGTAGCCATGCGCACAAGTATACGGAGCCATAATTCATTCCGTACACCGGTAAGCTGGGTCTCCATATAGGTATAACTCCTGTTTACCATCCATAATATGCCGAATCCTTTCAACGCAGCCTGATTCCCCCCAAATACGCCAGTCGTTAGCTGGTCCATTATACGGCCCAATCAAGGATGATACAAGTCCATCAGGAGTTACAACAGCCTGGAAGTGCATTCCGTGCTTCTTCTTATATCCAGAATACCATAGCCGCTGGACTTCCGAGTCTCCTGCTGGTCGGCAAAACCCTTGGAATGTACCATCGACAAACCCCCATATTTGGCTACAGCCACCGCTATCTGCTATAGCCTCTTCAAAGCTTAGTAGCTTGTTGTATGTAAGGTATGGGTGCCATTCTACTAAGCCTTCAAATTCGTGTACCAAGTGACCCATTACGTCGTTAAAGACTATTGAAAGCCATGCCTGAGACCGTCCAAAAAGGTCAACACAGATTGTCCAACGCCCTGGATACGCAAGATGGGCCAAGACTACGCAAAGAGCAGTCTCTGGGTCTGGGTTTACCTGCCTACTCCAGACTATTGTATGAAGCTTTAGCAGTGGCACAAGCCGAGCTATTTCGTCAATGGAAAATCTGTTAACTGTGAGTAATAAGAACCATATAGAGTTATAACCTAAAAGCCTACTGGAATTTATGAGCTACCCATCCAGGAGTATGGCTACCCCATGCCCGTAAGCTCCAGTTGAACTTATCATACTCGTAAGTAAGTCGAGTCTATGGGCGTTGAGTTGTATATAACTGTCGTAAGAGCCACCGATGGTATTGACGACGGCGATTATGCCGAATAACCAGAACAGTAGCACAAGTAGCAATCGCAATCAGTTCTAGGTCTTTGGTATTAGACATTAGATCTAATTACTATAACTACCTCTGAATTGAAGTAATATAGTAGCTACGTTGCAAAAGATATTTTATAACGAAAGTGGTGGTCAAATAGGGGTAATTTGCAGTGGTGGCAGTCACAAAAGGGTACATTTACATATATATCTGTATGGCAATAGACATACCGCGATGTATCTTTTTCCGGTTGCGACCACCTCTCCCCCTACCCGCCCAGTTCCAAAGCACTTACTAAAGTAGAAAAATTTATCAAAGGCCAGTATTCTACAGAGGGAACAAAGGGCTCTAGTCACATAGGGGACTACAAAGGGAACGCCTTATGGGGTATGGCCGGAATGGGGAATTACATACAATTTACTAGTAATTTCCCTCGTCATGTCATAGGTGAACTCACGAAAATCATGAAGATCACAACTTTTCAAAGCCTCGATTCCAACTCATTTTAGAATTGCCTATTTAGGCCTTACAGTGGACTACAGTAAGCACTAAACAGGGTTATGTATGCTCTAATACTAATATATTCTAGGTCAGCTTGGCATGGCCTGATCAGGCAATGTAAAGCCAGAGCCTGTCGGAGACTGCTAAAACACTCTATTTTTACTATAATCATTACGATGGTATTTGAACTGATATTACAGAATCAATTCTACGTCTACTATGTGGCCTTGGCAACTCTTGGCAACTTTTGCAATATCTGTAAGATCCGGATATATCCTCGGATCGTACGGATAGATCATAATTATGGCGGATAGGATATATCCAGATCAGTATCCGGATCAGCTCGGGTCATCCACGATCCGTGCTGAACACTGCTGTCAGAAAGGTTCAGCTTTTGGCCCGGCCCATGCTGATCAAGCCTCGCAGGCCCCTCTCTAAATTGAGGGGCTGCGTATCCATGGATCTATCTAATATACGAAGTTGTGGACTACTGCGATCTCTTGTAATGGAGTATCTCACATGTGAGGTAACAAATATAATTCGCTCTCTTGAGTTTGACCAATTACTTGAGCAAGGGGGGCCTTTCTCCAGAGATCTTGTACATATGATGATGAAGCGCATCGGATAAGGTCTAATTCTAAATTGATCATCTCTATGTCTTCAAATTTGCATGGCAGAGCCCAGCATGACAATGCAGACCATTGGCTATGTGAGCCTTCGTTGGCACTGTCATATCAAATCTACACTATCATTCTCATAGCTCAAGTTTGATTTTATGGAGCTCATAATTGTAGTTGTGACAGCTATTGAGATGCTCCCATATCGCTTCACCAGATCCAAAGCTTCTGTGATCTTTACCAGCCTTAGTCCCGCAATCAAAGCAATACCAAATGTGCCCAGGGTTAGCAATTCGAGTAGACTCATGAGTTTGAAACCAAACTCAACTCATTGAGTTGAGTTTAGACCTGTACTCAAACTCAAACTCACCAACTAGAGTAGACTCATGAGTTAATGAGTTAGAAAATGAATTTAACCTATTTAGGTATATACATCACCTAATTATGACTAAGTTGCAATAAGATAAGATAGGATAAGATAAATTACTGATGTAATTGCTTATAGATGCTTATAAATTAGCAAGTCAGAGGTTAGCACCTCACTGACTTTTCAGAAACAAGGAGTAACAAGATCAATGCTTGGAAGCTTGGAAAAGACGTGGAAGTATGTGATAGTCGATTTACTGTATTGTCTGCTTGCCCTTTCTTAAGGAAGGCAATCCTATTTATGCTAAAGGAGTGTAGTTCTCTCATTTTCCAAGACTTTCCATGACTAACCAGGCTTGGTAACTGTAGTCGACATAAGAGAATTTCATAGAACCATCTCCTAGGTTCCTAGCCTATAGGAAGTGAAAAGGAGGTCCAAGGTCAGAGTACCTATAGACAAATTATGTCATAACTTAACCAATCTTGTGGGTAACTAAGGAGCGATGACGTGTAATGAATCATAGAGGGTTGTAGAAGCTTCTAGAGCTATCGTTCATGTTCCTAGGCCTCTAGTTGGTAGAGATATGCCATGTGGTAGTATTGGCCCACCCCCTTAAGGAGGGTATTTTCTTAATAACTTGTTCAATGAGTGTCCAAATGATATGCCGTGATGTATGTAGCATAAACAGATGTAGTAGAAGAGTTTGCAGCAATCGTTGAGTAGTATTGATCTTGTTGTTGGTGTGATAAGCCAAGATATGTATGGTGACTTGTAGGTTTGAGGATCAGATTTCTAAGTTTGCTCTTGAGTTTGATAGCAAACTGAGAGCAACGAATGTCAGTATGACAATTAAGGCCCGTATAGGCAGTCTTTAGAAACTTGCACAGCACTCCTAGAGGGAGCTCTAGGAGATTGTAGAGATGCATAAAGAGACCATTAAGAAGCAGAACATAGAACAAGGATTGTGTAATGAGAATGCTTGCCTTTGAGCATTACTAGGCATGGAATGATGAAGGAAAGGGGTATGGCAGGTGTTCTTAGGCGCTTATAGGCATAGGCAGATTAGGCCGGAGTTAGTGAGCTAGGGGTTAGAGTTGCATAGATTAGCACGTAGGCATTGTTTCTTAAGGGCATTATGTGGTAAGCAGAGTTATCCAGTTGGGAGGATCAAGGTGTTGGTTAGAACGGAAGGGGGGTGAGTGTATAGAAAACTAGATTAGTCATCACAAGATTGTGTAGAGCCAGCTTACCTTTATGCTTGCTACCTCTATAAGTTGACCAATAGGAGCCATTACTTCTACAACAGCTTCGGCCGTAACGCAACGAGCGCTCAATCGTTCGGTGTGTGCATATTTGGCATTGCATTGAAGCGTACGGGCTACAGCTTCAATTCACCATCGGATTTTGATATTGAGGCTCAACTGCAATCTACGGGAGCGTGGGGCATCACGTCTTGGTTCGGTACGAAAGAGGGTTAGGGCTTAGTCATGGGTGTGGCTGAAAACACGATTCAGATTCCTCATCGTGATTCCCGGCACAGAATACGGGTTCTACACGTAAACCCTCTACTTTTCGGGCTGTAGAAGAGGGGCTACAGTACTAGAAACACCGGGTTTCAGAGGGCTTTAGTAGCCCCTTAAAATAGAGCTACTATAATTGGCTTACTAGAACCGAAGAGGTTGTAGTAGGCGGCCAGCTCTAAGAACACGACCTACGGGCTATTCGGCGCTAGGTTGAGGAGTCGAAGAAGCGGGCAAGCTGAAGCCGGGCCAAGCTTCAGTTCGGAGGTGAGCTCCAAGCTGCTCACGCTCACGAGCTTCGGGCCTAGAAAGCCGAGCTTCAAGCCTAGAAGCTTGCAACCAAAGAAGCCCGGGTAGCCCGCTAGGCTAGAACCAGGCTAATAACCAGCTCAAAAGAGCTGGGGTTGAGGCCCGGAGGGCAGAGCGCCTCTAGAAAAAGAGGATAAAAGCTCTTCTTCGAGCTGGCAACCCAATTCCTCTAGAGGATCGGGACCCAATTCGGGACTCAGAAGCTGCTGAGAGTGAGTGCGTGAGTGAGCGTGGTAGTGAGTGTGGGAGTGAGTGTGGGAGTGAGCGTGGGAGTGAGCGTGGGAGTGATGAAGTGATAATTTCTTACAATGATTGGTTTATGTACCTTTACATACAAATTACTATGTAGTGGTACTTATAGCCTACATATTGCGAAACCGCGCACATCGCTTCCGCTCATTTACCTTGAGCGAAGCGAAAATTTGGTCACGACGAGTATCGCTTTTCGGCAAGGTTAAAATCAGTCACTGACGAATCCCCGCTGTTACTTTAATATGTCAGCAAAGCAACACCCCCTCCCATAGATCTACAAACAAAGTTCCGCCTTACCAGACCTAATCTTGATGACAACTGTATCCAAAACGTCGGAGAGTCATCACCTTCAAATGGCTGCCTCATGACTTCCACCTGCCTTCCACTTCAGTGGCGTGCTCCTCGGCTTAACCGAGGCGGGATCTCGGCGGTCACCTTGTGGGGTAAGCAACGCGGGGCGGGGTAACCACCCGCCGACGCGAATCTGATGTACTCTTAAAAGGCCAGCTTCTTGTGTTGTAAATCCATACTCATAAATAACTTAACATGTCCTCTCTAGACGAACAATTCCAGCAAGCGTGCGCAGCGGGAGATCTCCCCGGTGTTGTCCTATTAGCCAGCGATACAACAGGTGAGTGAAATGAAAAACCCGGTTCACATGCTAAACTCCAACTAACTGCCCCACGACAGGGAAATTCAAGTATGAAAAAGCCTTTGGGATGAAGTCCCCAGGGGAGAAGATTGACATCAACGCAACCTTCATCCTGGCCTCCTGCACAAAACTCATGACCACCATCGCGGCCATGCAGTGCGTTGAGCGGGGGGAGATCCAATTAGACGACGATGTATCAACAGTCTTGACGGAATTAAAGGATATCCAGATCCTCACCGGCTTCAATGAAGAGACAAATGAACCTATTCTCACGCCCGCCAAGAACAAAATAACTCTCCGGTAACCCTCCCCCCCATCTCATACTTCCACCCCCAACTCACTCTAACACCCAAACCAGCCACCTCCTAACCCACACTGCCGGCCTCGGCTACTACGGCATGAACCCTCTCCTCGCCCGCCTCTTTAAAACCCTCGCCCCGCCCCGCGCCGGCGACGCCACCTCCCCAATCATCCAACGCATCAGCTCCCCCCTCCTCTTCGAGCCCGGCACAAGCTGGGAATACGGCACCGGGCTCGACTGGGCCGGCGTGCTGGTCATGCGCCTCACCAACACCTCACTGGAAGCGTACATGCAGTCGCACATCTGGGATCCCCTAGGAATCAAAAACATAACCTTCCACCAGGAGCTGAAGCCCGAGGTGAGGCGGAGACTGGTCACCATGACCAAGCGCGGGGCGCGGAAGAAGGTATGGAGTAAACCCTCCACCGGCGGGGAAAAAATCGAATGGACAGACGATAAAGTGTACGAAGACCCCTGCAAGGACGAATTCGGCGGCGGCGGCGCAATCGGGTCTGCAGTCGAGTATCTCAAGATCCTCACCTCGATATGCGCCTCCGACGGAAAGTTGTTGAAGGGTACGACGATCGATGAGATGTTCACCCCCCAACTCCCCCCCGGTGGTCGGCGCGCACTAACTATCCACAACGACGCACTCGCCGAGACCGAAACCTTCACGAGCCGGAAATCCGGAACGAAGCTGAATTTCGGACTCGGTGGGCTCCTCGTGCTCAGCGATGATGAGGGGACGGGGTTGAAAGCGGGGACGATGACGTGGAGCGGGTTGCCGAATTTGTTGTGGACGATTGATCGGAGGAGTGGGTTGAGTTTGTTTTATGCGGAGAATGTGATTCCGTTTGGGGATCATAGGAGTCATCGGATGCAGCAGATGTTTGAGAGGGAGGTGTATGGGTTGGCGGCGCCGTCAGGTTCGAAGTTGTGAGGTTGGGGTGGGGCGTCTGTGTCCTGAGATGGGCGAGGTGTTATCTGTCAGATTATTCAGTTGTTTTAGAATACACGGTAAACCAGAAAGGTATGAAGACGAGAACAAATAAAGAATCTCAGGAATGCGTAGATTTGGTATAAAGTCGACAGAAATCTCAACCTCCCATCACTCATCTCATTATTTCTCATACGATCTTCTCTCGCTGGCTCCAACAAACCGACAGACGAATATAAATAAACCCCTCTCCCTCCTTTCATCCTTTCTCCATCCCAAGAATACACCACCGAACCCTAAATCCCAACCCTATCACATTACATTAGAACACAACACCAAAATCAAGCCAAAACGACATTGCTAAAAAAAATCCCGCTCAAGAAACCAAAAAGGGGGGGGGGGTATAGTATAACCTAAACTACTGTAAGTGTTTCTTTCTTTTTTTCTCTCTAAAGCAACCAAAAAATCCCCCCATCCCACTCCATTCCGTCGAAAGATGTATTCACATCGCGTCTCGTACAGGGCTTTTCCAAAAATCCGTTCATCGCATCGCAGCCCGTATTCATCCCTTCATATCCAATAAATTCATCTGGTCCGCATCCGCATTAACCATGCTCCATCTCCTCCCATACGTTCCCCCTTGACTCCAACTCCCCGCACACAAAAAGTCACCCTCAACTCTCCTCCCTAACCCCCTCCAACCCCCCCCCCCCCCCATCCCCCCAATTCCTGCACGCTTCCAACCCCCTCCTCACACCACCCACACGCCTCGCCCACATAGACTCCACAGCACTCCTCGTAGTCCACGCGCGCTGGCTCCCAATCACACCCACAGCCTGGAGGACAGCCTTGCGGCTATCGCGTCCAAACACCGCGGGATGGTGGATCCACTCCAGGCTACCCTCGAGTTCCGCGTCGAGGGCAGCGACGACAGCTGGGTCGATGCCCGCTGCTGTCGCGGGGCCGACGCCTTGCTCGCGCTCGCGCGGGATAGGGAGGGCTGCCGAGGGCGGCGGTTGCGGGGGTGGGAGGTGCGCGATGGACGCGGTTGGGGAGAGAGAAGGCGGGGACGATTTGCCCTCCTGGATCCTGCTACTCCTGCCCTGTCCGGGCAAGGGGAGGATGGGAAGTGCGCCAGTAGGAGGTGGCGGCGGGATGGGTGGGAGGCCGCCCTTGGCGAGACCCTTGAGTATGGAGCGTGTCTCGGTGAGGAGGTGGGCAGCGCTGTCGTGTTGGGCGCGGGCGACGAGGGAGAGGGCGCGGGTGAGCATGTCTGCTGTGAGGAGCTCCATGCGGCGCTGGACGACGGAGGGGTGAGGCGGGATGTGTGGGGTTGGTGGAGATGCCGATTTCTTCGATGGAGGTAGCATGGTGATTGCCAGCAATGAAGGGCGGGGGAGGTGGGTGGTGGTGTTGGGACGTAATAGATCACCCCACGCTAGATCGGCTTGGATGAGCGGGACCTCCTCGACAGAGAGGGCGCGCGGGGATGTGTCTTCGAGCGGGCCGGAGAGCGCTTCGAGGTTCGACATGATGGTCTCCCATGGGTCGGATGGGGGATGGTCAGGTGACGCAGCGTCGGGGGTAATAACGAGCTGGACGAGGACGTCGCGCTTGTCACCGAAGCGGAGATCACCAAGGCAGGCCTCTGCATCGCGGCCCGAGGCGCGGCGGGTCACGGAGAGGGCGCCACTGATCTTGACGAACTTGGCAGGGGAACCCTCAGGGAGGCGAAGGCGCAGCTTGACGTTCTGGTGCGCGGTTGTCTGGAGGGAACCGAGGCAGCCAGCGAGGCACTCGCGGAGCATCATCCAGTCCTTCACGTACGTGTACTGCGCCTTGGTGCGCGTGGACAGCTCGATCATGGTATCTGGCTTGTGCGTCATGCCCAGGCCGAAGGAGTGGATTGCGATTCTATGGGGTAAGTTAGTACGGGTGATCACGTTTTTGATTCCCTGGGAACTTACTTGGCCGCCTCGGCGCGGGACGCCACGAAATCCACGCTATCCGTATCCGACGTCGACGCGTCGCTGATGAGCAGGATCGTGGCGATGGGGTTATTGTTTTTCCGCTGCATCAGCAGATCCATTGCGACGTTTGCGCCTTCCACCACATCGGCGCGGTGCAGCTTCTGGCCCACCGGCTTGATCTGGGAGAGGACGTTTGACCATCCGCTCCACGTCTTCGTTGTCATACCCACCAAGGGCACACCGCCACCGCCCGAGCCAAAGGTTACGAGACCCATGCGGTCGCGCTCGCACAGGCTCTGGACCATGTAGTTGAGTGCGTCGCGCACAAGAGAGATCTTGACGCCCTGCATGGAGGACGAGACGGGGACCACGACCACGATGTCAACTGGAACGTGGATGGGGTCGGAGAGGCGCACGGAGCGGTGGTTGGTGTACTCGGTGGGTGCCGTTGTAGCGGATCTTGTTGCATACGAAGACGAATGCAGGGAGGAGTCGCGCTTCGAGCTCGGAAGTGTCCTGCGCCAGTCTTCCTCTTCCGCCTCCGACGCAGCATCCTGGTCGTAATCAGCGCCATTTCTGGATGCCGCCTCTGGGGGGTGGAGGTCCTGCAGCGCCTGCTGCCACATGCGGAGCTGGGTGAGGTTGTCGAACTGGAGGTGGAATTGCGGAAGCTCAGCGACGGAGAGGCTGAGGGTGAGGGTGTTCTCCTCGAGCGGCCTGGGATTCGACGCCGGGGTGAGATTAGATGATGTTATGCGCTGGGTCATGCCCAGGGTCTCGCCCGCTGCTGTCTGCGTGACGCCGTCAAGGTGCTTCCGGATGAGGATGGAGCCCTTGAGCGTGCACCGGCTCGCCCTCCTCCCATTCCCCTCGTCGCTCCACTGCTGCAGGGGTGTGGCCTTCTTCTCCTTGACGCAGATGAGCATCTCCGAGAAGAGATAACACTCCAGCTCCTGCCACTGCACCTTATCCTTCCCCACGCGTATCGTGCCGTATAGTCGTAATTTGCCAAACCTGTATCATCAGCATACTGCCCATATCAAAACCCGCGTCACCTTACTCACCTTGAAAAGTCCAGACTGTGCCAGTTCTCCACACGACTCCGCAGGCTCTCGGTCATCTCCTCCAGCACCTCCGGCGACTCGTACGGGTAGAAGCGCGGCACCGTCTTCACAGGCGATGGCGGCCTCGCATACCGCTCCTCCTCGCGCAGCTTGGGCATCGGCGGTATGCGCACATCCTCCGGATCCGGCCTCCAGTTATTATCTGGCACCTCGATGGTGATGAGGCAGGCGAGGGTCTGCTGGGCTCGCGAGCGGTTGAGGGTGGGAAACTCGGAACGGATGGAGACGAGGGGAGGTGGGATGGGATTGCGGCTAGAGCGCGGGCTGACGACGCCCGTCTCCACGGACTGGACGTCGTAGTCATGGCGCCGTGAGGGCGCGACGCTCTGTGATGTATCGGGGTATCCATTGGATCCTGTCGCCTCGCTGTCTGATCGGCGGTGGGCCCCGTTCGACGAGGGATACCGCTCTGGTTCCCTGCCGTCTCGGTCACGTTCCCTCTCACGTCCATCCCGATCTCGTCCGTCTCGGTGCCCGGAGGCGCTCTCCCTCCCATTCCGTGACTGGGTATCGCGTTCGCGGTCGTGATTTGGTCGGGCGCCGGATTCGTAGCTTGGTGGACGCACCGTCTGGCTGTCCCACGGTGTCGGGGTCGGGGCGGCCGAGCCGCGTTCGCTGACAGATACTGAGCGCACCATACTACTTAGCTTTTCTGCATGCAAAGAACCAATATCAGCAGGTGGCAAGGCGAACAAACCGTGGTCGAAACCCTTACCAATATCTAAGACGTTTCCGCCGCGGCTCGTGTCGAGGCCGAGGGGCGCATTGCAGGTCGGGCAATACCGCGAGTCGAACTGCTTCATGTACTCGTAAAAGCAGGCGCCGTGGGAGACGTGGGCGCAGGAGAACTGCAGGATGCGCTCACCGCGCAGGGTGTGCTCCAGCGGCTCCTCGCACACGGCGCACTCGCTCCCCACAAACGTCCGCTCCCGCCGCGTGCGGCTCCGATCTGTATCCAGCATGCCCGTCATGGCGCCTCGGGAGAGGGTCGTCGTCGAATTGTTCGCGCAGGAGTTGCTGCTGCTGCCGGAGCTCTTCTCCGAGGGGCTCGTATCGAGCGACGCCGGTCGGCGGGGGCGCAGAGCGGGCGCTGTCCTCGCCGTGACGGAGGTATCTGGGCAGGTTTTTTAGCGTGTCTTCTTCGCCACTCGCAAAAAGCGCAAATGAATTGGCACGCGCGCGTCGCCGGTTGAGGGGTCGAGGGAAGGTAGCAGTGTTCTCGTCTGGCGGGTGACGAGTGGTTCTGCTAGAGAGCAGCCAAGATGGTAAAAAGGGTACTAACTCTTCTTTGGGTAGGCCTCGGCGGCGCCAGGCCCCCGGACGATCCTGTCTCTGGCGGCGATGTGTTTCGGCCTGAGCAGGCCGAGATGGACCAATTGGCGAGAGACGTGGTCGGTATCGTCCTGCTTTTCCCTGGATGATGAAGAGTGAGCGACGGCCGGGTCGTTCTGGTAGTTGGGGAGTCGAGCGAGGGCGAGCGGCGAAAAGATGGCGGGACGATTCGACATGGGCGTGTTCCGAGTGGGAGCTGCTGTGGTATGTGGACCCAACACACGGCGCTCTTGACGGCGCTCTGCACGGCGCTCTTTTGAGGCGTTGCACACACGAGCGAAGGGGTTCAGGAGGGACAGCGAGCGTTTGAGAAGAGAGAATGAGGGGGATGTTTCGGAGGACTATAGCAAAGTATAGTGGTGCTTCGGGGATGAATTGGGGATAAGTGACGAAGTTTGAACGGAGAGTTGGGATGGATTGAGAAGGGATGGGCGGAAGTGGGGTGCGGCGGAGCCAAGAGGGTGGTTTTTTTTGGGGGGGGGGGTGATTGGACAGGTGGGGGAAGGGGGGGTGATTGGACAGGTGGGGGAAGGGGGGGTGATTGGACAGGTGGGGGAGGAAGGGGGGGAAGGGGGGAAGTGGGGAAGGGGGGAAGGTGGGAGAGTGGAGAATAGGAGGGTTATGATGGATAGGGCGGCGGGTGGAGGGGAGGGAAAGGAAGGGAAGGGGAGGGAAGGGCGGTATCGGAAGGAGCGAACAGGAAACACGATAGTACGGGGGGGAATGTACTGTTTCACCAGACATGGTATGGGTGTGAGTCTAAGGCTAACCCACCCACTCCTATCTAACCTCCCCACCTGTTCTATCTCCACACCTCCCCACTCTTCGACACCCCTCCCCCCCTTTCCACACCCCTCTCCCCCTTTCACACCCCTCCCCCTTCCCACACCCCTCCCTCTCCCCCTTCCCACACCCCTTCCACCCATTCCCACACCCACCACCCTACCCGTGAAGTCAAACTAGAGACGCTCCACTATGCTTCACTATGCTTCACTATGCTTCACTATGCTTCACTATGCTTCACTTCATGCTTCACTTCACTTCACCACGCTTCACTATGCTTCACTATGCTTCACCACGCTTCACTATGCTTTACCACGCTGCCACGGTAGCCTATACTCTACGCATAAGGCTCCATGTACTGTAAGGAATGTGAGGGAGCCCTAAACGGCCTAACATACATTCCTTGGACACTCGTCTAGACAAAAACAGAACGGCCGACATGCACAGCAACGCACCTGCTAGGAACGACATTCAATATCACACCACACTACAGCGCATCGGGACCATAGCGCATCGGGACCACAGCGCATCGGCACCACAGCGCATCGACACCACAACCCGCCCCCCCACGCCCAGCCTACGCGCTATACAAGAGCTGATAAATATGACCGGTCGCCTACATCCCACTCACTTTACATTCCACCATCATCCGCCCCGTACTACAGTCAGTCATAATCCATTAAGTCGATACGCGTTTACCTAATATTTCTGATATCTCAGATATATTTTGCAGGATCCATCCTTTTTACATACAAACCCTGATATACATGATATCGTGCCTTTTCTTTAGATTATCGACTTATACTAACCTCTTCACTTTCTAGTACCTCTAAAGAAGCTTAATTCGATGACTCTCGACTAACGACGTACTCTCTAGCGCTAGCACTACGAACAATGCCCTTAACCTTCATAGAAAGCTTACATCGTATGGTTCTGAGACTAACACTAGACTCAAGTTAGCTAATCTACTGTCTCTAAATCTCTTAGCACTTGATTTGCCTACCTTGACAGCACCCTACAAGCAGACGATTAAGAAGCTTAACGACGACAACGTGGCGCTACTTAGCCATAGCTAGAAGCTATCCTTTTCGACTAGCAGAAGCTTATTAAACGACGAGGAGGGGTTATAACAGGTGAGGTTTTGTAAGAGAAGGCAAAGTAGATCTAGGCACAATTACCATAACATGAAGGTGAAACAGTCCTAGAGTTTCGTGTTACGGCTAAGTGCTAGTGCTATGGCTAGCGCTTACGGCTGCAACCTCACGTGATGGATAACATTGGATATCATGAATATTATGTTATCCATGTTATCCACGGATATCCCTTTGGCATGATGCCACTATATAGGTAGATAGTATTTCCTTAGATAGGAGCTTCGTGCTCAACTCAATATAGTATTCTTTACAATACTGTAATGTGTTACTTGGAAAGCCTTTGTGTCTGATCCCCTGCCTCCTCTGTCAAGTCAACCTTACTCAAGAAACCTCTGTGTCTTCTATCGTTTAGAAGTTAGCGTTACATTTAGCTTAGGGTAGGTCATAAGGTTTCGACAATGGTATAAGATTCTTATTTAAGTTTAACATAGTAAAGCTAGATTAGTTCTAGCTATAGTAGAGGAAGAGATGCAAGCAATTCAAACAGTAGCAGGGGAATACTTAGAGGAGGATATATATAACATAGACAAGATGGGACTATACTAGAAGATAACACCATTAAGGGGCTTTATAACAGTAGAGGGTGCTATAGGTCAGAAAAGAGAGAAGGTAAGAATATTAGTAGTTGTTTGTGTTAATTCAACTAGCATAGATCGATTTCCACTAACGTAACGTATGGGGTAGACGGACATATGGGGTAGTCGGACAAAAAGTTTATTCTACTCTAGTTGACCGAGTCCTACGTGCCACACACTCCTCCAATTCCAATTCTGGGTCGCTTGAATCGTTCTCTACCTCTTCCTCTTCAACTTCCTCGTCTACTTCTTCAATTGGCCGTTTGCGTGGCCTTCCACGTGGTCTTTTCTCGGTTGACTTCAACTCTGCCTCCCGGACAATTTTCAACACTTCCTCGGTACTGAATACAAATTCACCTTGCAACTTAATTCTCTTGCCCGTAGTTCTTTTCTTTCGTGTCTCAAGTATCTCTTTGTACTCTTTTACCTCCTTCCGAAGGATGCTGAGTTCAGCATTCTGACTTTCAACCAGCCTAGTCATTCTCTTGGCATAGCGTCGAGTTGGTGAAGCAGGAGAGTCACAAGTTGCCATACTTAAATTAAATACTAAATTTGCATGCCTTAGTTCAGTGTAACACTGACTTCTAAACGATAGAAGACACAGAGGTTCTCTTGCGTAAAGGTTTACTTATCAGAGGAGGCAGGGGATCAGACACAAAGGCTTCAAGTAACACGTTACTAGTATATAACAAATACTGTATTGAGTTGAGCACGAAGCTCCTATCTAAGGAAATACTATCTACTTATATAGTGGCGTCGTGCCTCATGGGTAATCTGGATAGTTGGCGGATAGCTAGATATTTAGGATAGTTCGTGGATAGCTCAACTATCCAATATCCACTAGTTTCTGCAACTATCCATTAGCCCCGTCACATGGCAGCCTACCCCGCTTCCCACTGTGACTCACACGTCACGTTACTAGGCCCTGGCCCTGTAACCATGACATCATGTTACTATAGCCGTAACATTCAGTTCCATCTGGAGGAGAACTTCGGAGTATTGAGAGATCCAGAGTAGTGATATTGGTTGAGTTTTGAGGAGTGCGAGGTGGTTCAGTTGGTGGAAGTGGAAGGTTAGCCAGAACTCTTTCTGGGAGAAAGGGTATTAAACCTGCTGCCCTCCACCCACTTCTAATGTTTTGAGGTATAAGACCCTTCTCTCAAATACACCGGAAGATTTCAACCCAGTGGGAGCGCTGGATTCGCTTTATTCCTGCTCGAGTATACCGATCTACTTCCTGAGCATGAAATCGCTTAAGAGGTCCATACACCCCAACATCAAGTGGTTGGAGTAGATGAGAGCAATGAGGCGGTAGAATAAGAAGGTCGATGTCATTCTCAATGCACAGTGCAATCATATCGCCAGTAATGTGACTAGAATGGCCATCCATAATCAACATTCGCGGGTGATTTCCAGACTTTTTGCATGACTCAGGCTCAAATACCTTCCGCAACCACTCAAATCCATGACTGTTTGAAGTCCAGCCACTATTACTTGTTGAGAAGTGCCAGTTTGTAGGGGTGTCCTTTGGAATCCAACTTGAATTGGTATTCTTAGCCTTGAATATAATCATAGGTGGTAAAGCACCACCGTCTGCATCAATGCATTCAAGTACAGTTATCCACTCCTGCTTCCCAGCTGTGACCTTCCAATTGGATTTCAAGGTAGAATCAACAATTATTCGCGTGGATTGAGTCTCTCCAACTGCAAAACCTGTCTCATCCATATTATAGATGTTGCATGGCTTGTACTTTCGCTCTTCAATTCGTGCTTTAAACACGTCAAACCAAGCTGAAATCTTTATAGGAGTGGCTTCTTTATGTCGTGCAGACTCTAGTTGTCTTGAGTAGACCCCTTTAAAGTTTGGATGTCGTTTTAAGAATCTATAGATCCATTCATGGCCTATGGGGGTAGGATTGGTCCGAAGAGTGGTTTGAGAAGACGTGATTTGGACGCGTCGTACGCGAATTTCTTCAGCCATTTCCTTGATCAACATAGGAGTTGCAGGAAAACCCGTGGCAGTGAGACGTGTAATCCATCGTGCTAGTGTATTTTCTTCTGCATTTGAGAGAGCTTGTTCAATTTCGTGAGCTACAGCACGCGTTTTCTTCCCAGACATCCTATCAGCAAGAGTTGACTTAGGAACTTCGAAGTGGTCTGCTGTAATGTTGGGTGCACCAGATATGAGAATCTAGCCACCCAAGGAAGGGATGATAAAAACAGAGAATAACAAGATCAATGCTTGAAGCTTGGAAAAGACGTAGAAGTATGTGCTAGTCGATTTACTGTATGGCCTGCTTGCCCTTTCTTAAGGAAAGGGCAATCCTATTTATGCCAAAGGAGTGTAGTTCTCTCATTTTCCATGACTTTCCATGACTAACCAGGCTTGGTAAATGTATTAGAAATCAAGTGCGACCCACAACTAGCTTGCTAATCATGTAGTGAACGTAAGAGAATCCCATAGAACCATCTCTTGGGTTCCTAGCCTATAGGAAGTGAAAAGGAGGTCCAAGGTCAGAGTACCTATAGATAAATTATGTCATAACTTAACCAATCTTGTGGGTAACTAAGGAGTGATGACGTGTAATGAATCATAGAGGGTTGTAGAAGCTTCTAGAGCTATCGTTCATGTTCCTAGGCCTCTAGTTGGTAGAGATATGCCATGTGGTAGTATTGGCCCACCCCCTTAAGGAGGAGATTTTCTTAATAACTTGTTCAATGAGTGTTCAAATGATATGCCGTGATGTATGTAGCATAAACAGATGTAGTAGAAGAGTTTGCAGCAATCGTTGAGTAGTATTGCTTCTGTTGTTGGTGTGATAAGCCAAGATATGTATGGTGACTTGTAGGTTTGAGGAGGAGATTTCTAAGTTTGCTCTTGAGTTTGATAGCAA